CTTCTGTTAGGGCGTCGCTTCGATCAGTTTCCACCATGTTGACCTCTCCAACGCATGCAGGCTCGGAGTAGTTGGTGTCTGCGACGTCCAAAGGATCTTCGTCCACTTTCATCTTCACCTTATCAGCAAACTTTAGTCTGCCATCTTTGATCGCGTTTTGAATCAAGTCCCTGAAAAGAAAACATTGTGAGGTCTTGTGGCCTAGGAAACTATGATATTTGCAAAATCCCCTCTTCTTTATCTGATCCAAATGAGGTATTTTGACATTTGATGGCACAATTAGTTGGCCATCCTTGACAAGCAGGTCAAAAATTTCGTCACATTTAGTGACGTCGAAGGTATAAACCTTCTTTGGAAATTTGTCACTTTTCTCATTTTCAACAATATCTTTCCCTTTCGTGGGAACTAACATTTTGCAGGAGTAAGGCGGGGCCTGTTTTAATTCAGCAAGGTCGATTTCGACCTCTTCGAATTCGACCTCTTCGAATTCGAATTCAGGATATTCTTCTACTTCCTCAGTCCCAACATAGGAAATCCTTTCTTTCTTGCTATTCTTAAAGACTCTGGCTTTTTCGGCCTTTAGTCTTTCGACCTGTCGAACCCTATCGGCTAACTGAGCCATATCCCTCAAATACTGAGTATCTAGTTTCTTTCGAATAGAATAATCCAAGCCACCAGCGGCCATTTCGAATAACTCATGTTCAGGCACTACTGTGTAACATCTGGATTTCAACAGCCTAAATCTATTCAAATAATCATCTATGGGTTCGGTGAACTTTCTCTTAACACTGGCCAATTCCTTCAAACTTATTTTCGATTGTCCCATGTAAAATTGTTCATGGAATAATCTCTCTAAGAGAGTCCAAGTGTCAATAGACCCAGGAGGCAAAGTGGTAAACCATGTGAAGGCGTTTTTTGTCAAGGAACTTGGGAAGTATTTGATCCTGAGATCTTCATTATTGGTTATATCTCCCGCTTCGGTTAGATATCTCGCTATGTGTTCGACTGTTGACTCATTGGTATCCCCAGCGAACTTTGTAAATTTAGGGACTTTATATCCCCTTGGTAAATCAGTATGCATTATACAATCCAATATAGGAGAAGCGTAATTTGGCCTCCTCATTCCCGTGTTGAGGCCATTCTGGGCCATGATCCTCTCTATCATGGTGGTTAGGTTGTTTTCTGCCAGGATGTTATCGTTTCGAATCCTATGAACGACGGCATCGGCATCTTGATTTCGACCAACCAAAACAACTCCCCTAGGTTGTTCTTCTCGAAATTCTGGGGCTTCTGGCCTTTCGATCCTTGCCCCTGGTTCCATAACTTCCCTTTGTGGACCCGGAATTATTGGGGCTTCTAACCTTGGTGCCCTGGCCCCTAAGTTAACTTCTTCTCTGGGTGGTCTATAAATTGGGTCGTTAGCAATTTGTTCTATAACAGGCGTGTTTGTTCGAAATCCCGCCTGATTCTGCCTACGCCTCTCTGTAGGAGCAAAGAAATCTGCTATTCTACTCATATTGTCAGCGTTTTCCCAGTTCGTCACTGTCACATTCTGCACTATTGGGGCAAAGATCTCCTGCATGGTTTGCGCTAACACCCCTATCATATTATGGTTACTGTCATCCATAAATTGCCTAAAAGCCAACTGGTTATCTGTGGTTAGGATAGGCAATGTGCTATAACCCACTGACCCTTGGTTATTTGTCATAAGCTGATTCGCCCCAGACCCAGACCCTAGTTGTGGAGATGAATTCGATGTGGAATTGTGTAAACCTGCCATAAAAGATGTTGGCATTCCATATGAGGAATTTCTGATTCTATTCCCATCGAAACCGGGTGGTCTAGTTAATGGGGTGGCGAAGTGGGATTGTGTCCCTGGTGGTGGAACGAATCCCCCAGGGTAGCCCATAGTTCCAGTATTTCCTAAGATCGAACTATTAGTTGATATGCCACTTATTCCATTGGTGGCTATGTTACTGGTTGAGGATGCAACAGACTGTGCATTCGAAGGGATTACATTAGATGTTCCACTCGAAATGGACGCGTTAGTGCCTGTTGCATGTGGGCCACTTTGGTCCCCTTGTTGATTGTCTGAATTAGACATTTTGTCCAAACGTTTTCTTCTGGATAAAGGTTGGTTGCTGTTGGTTATCTTACCACTTCTCAGGTTCATAAAACAACAAACTTCTTAGGTTCCAACGTTTTTGTAATGGTTACGTCTCGACAATCCTTGATTCTGATATCCAATTATTGGTCCCACCGGGTGTGCCAATTTGTTTCCAGTGATTTCTGGTAAACAACCGCTAGTCTTCCAAACTATCGAATAATCTTTCTTACTGCTATTCAATCTCTCTGGTAACTCACAGGATCGACTAGATTGATCCTAGGATTCCTTGGATATTAAGGTTACTCTCACAATCGAACAGATATTCATGGTCAATATTGTATAGGTGTTTGGCTTGTTTCGATCTCTCTCTCTAAGAGTTTAAAGATGTAATCAAAACGTGTGTGAGAATTAAGTTATACGAATAGATGCTAATTGTAATGCTGAATTGTAAAGACATATAAAACTGCATGAAAATGAAATAAATGGTTTCGACTTACAAAAACGGTTAACAAAAGGGTTTCTGGAACATAAAAGTTTTAAAAGAAAAGAGAAAGTGTTTAATGTAAGAAATCTATAAATGATTTTAAGTAAAAGTATGCGTTCGAAGGACAAGACTTGAATGTAAAGGTATGGAAAATGTGATAGCTTTCAGAAATATAAAATGCTCGAAACATAAAGAATATAATAAAATGTAAGACTTTGAGGAAGAGACTTCGAAGTGAAAAGACTGTAGATAAGAAACTTGTAAATGTTGTTTGACAAAAAGAATAAAGGAAAGTACTGGAAATGGTAAAAGGTTTTCATTAAATCAGAAATACATGGTGTTATCATACATACATTTCTCTTGCATTCGTTTCCCTTGCCATGTGGTAGTTTGAATGTTATTGAGTATTTTGTATAATAGATATGACACACTGAAATCCTAATACTAAGACTTCTATTTATACTAATTCGACCCTAACGGTCTCGCTATAGGATTATGCCACGTTTCGAACATGCAAGACAATGCTTCTTTCATCCTTCCACGTGTCCCCAAATGCTCCAACACATAACTTTCAAACTTTGAAAGTCCCGCTCTCATTTGAATTTAAAATACTTTGGTGTTTCTCCGTTTCGAACGCTTTTCCCAAACATAGTCTCGCTGTTGTTTCGAGACTCCTTTGGATATGTTCTCATAATTGCCGCTCGAAGCTTCAAGCTTTGACACACTTATTCGAAACACTGCTTCTGCAACTTCGAAATATGACGTTTAATTCCATTTCGATCAGAATGTTTAACTCCTTTAGCTTCTAAATAATATTATCAAAATCTTCAGCCAACAGCTGCCCTTGCGGGTTTTCAACTTAGCGGAAAATTTATTCTGTTTATGTCTCTAACTTTTTCCTAGACCGCCCTTTCGGGCTTTCGGCCTACCGAGATGCTCTTTTTTGCCTAAGCCGCCCTTTCGGATTTTCAACTTAGCGAGCTGTTCTTTTACTTCTTTAGGCGAAGTATTTCTTGATTGCATCAACATTCATGGGACGTGGGAACTCCTCGCCATCCATAGTTTCAAGAATTAATGCACCACCAGAGAAGGCTTTCTAGACAACATATGGGCCTTCAAAATTGGGAGTCCACTTGCCCCTAGAATTAGTGTTAAAAGACATGATCTTCCTGAGCACAAGGTCGCCTTCTCTGAATTCATGAGGTTTGACCTTTTTATCAAAAGCTTTCTTCATTCTTTTCTGATATAACATCTATGACACAAAGTTGTCATCCTCTTCTCTTCGATCAGACTCAATTGGTCAAATCGATTTTGGACCCATTCAACCTCAATCAACTTGGTTTATCACACGCAAAGAGGAAATCTCAACCTCGACTGGGAGTACAGCTTCCATTCCATACACCAGGGAGAACGAGGTTGTTCCTGTTGAAGTGCGGACAACTGTTCGATATCCATGCAAAGCAAAAGGAAGCATTTCATGCAAATCCTTATAAGTAACAACCATTTTCTAGATAATCTTCTTGATATTCTTATTAGCAGCTTCAACAGCCCCATTCATCTTTGGCCTATACGGAGAGGAATTATGATGGACAATCTTGAATTCTTTGCACAGTTCTGTCATCATTTTATTGTTCAGATTCAAGCCATTGTCGGTGATAATTCTGCTCGACACACCATACCGACATATAAGATTATTCTTGATGAAACGCACAACCACCTACTTAGTAGCATTGGCATATGAAGCAGCCTCCATCCATTTGGTGAAGTAATCAATTGCTTACCAAGATAAAACAGTGTCCATTCGAAGCTTTGGGTTCTATCATCCCAATCATGTTAACACCCTACATAGAGAAAGGCCACGGGGAAGAAATGACATTGAGAAGTGTCGGAGGCACATGGACCTCATCTGCATAAGTCTGACATTTATAACACTTCTTTGCAAATTTTTTGTCCAAATAATATCCATTGATTAAGTATTATAATTTTAAAATGAAGTTCATATATAATTTTTTTTCCTTTTTCTTTTTGCTCTATAGATGCTGGTTTGCTATATTAATGTATATTTAACAACTTTATTTATTAAACTAAAATTAATCTGCTGTTAACACATGATATATAATTATCTATATTGATTTTTCACATGCTCCATCCAAATTACAAAAAATTCATCACAATCAAAAAATCATTATATATATATATATATATATATATATATATATATATATATATATATATATATATATATATATATATATATATATATATATATATATATATATATATATATACTAAAAAGTAACTATTATTATTCAAAACGAACGGTCCCGATCGAATCGAAGGAGGGTTTACCCACACAGAAAGAACAGAATAAAAAGCAATTATACAAAAGCACAATGACGAAATCACCCTCACACCGCTGCAACAAATATTCGACTCGTCTTCATCCTATACACGCGACCGAGCTCGTTCTTCTTTCTCCGTAAGCTCCACTTTCAATTTCTAGCTATAGCTTTTTTCTATTCTTTCTATTTCTCTTTTCAATTAACGCTTAATATCGATTTTTCTTTCTCCATTTTTGCGTTACGATTAACCTCTCGCAACGCCGATGTACCTGAAAACCTAGCTCATTCGTTTGTATATGTTGAATCCATTTTTCAATTTCTTTTTATTGTTTCAGCTACCTTAGGGTATGTTAATGTTAATCAATCCGCGTTTTTTATATGTTGATTTTGATTATTGTTTTGTTTAGGGTATAATCAATTCATCAATTAGGTTATCATCTGATTGAAGTATAGCGCTTTGTCGATTACGATCTTGTTTGTTGAGGTGATTTCAGATCCAGAACGAATTCGGAGTTTTTTTGTTGCATATAGATAAAACTTGGCACCTTTGTTTTTTATTTATTTAATGATTATTTTGTATGTCTTAGTGTATTTTTGGTTATGCCGCGAGAAGAATGGATGATACATTTATGTGAAACTGAGTTGAATAATAAATTCAGTGTAAAAATCACATTTAAATTCAAAAGCGAATCGATTCTAGTTTAGAAGAACCAAACACTTCAAAATCATTATAAAATCAATTCTACACCTCTAGAATTGCTTGCTTGTTGCTCTTCCAAAAGCAAAACCAAACATACACTTAATAATTTGTTTTTTCAAATTTAGCACTGATTTATTTATTTATTTTTGAAACCGATTTATTCAAACGTCTTGTGAATGTTTCTGTTTATTGTTGTTTAGTTAAGGATAGATTTTTGAACCTTATTGCTGCCAAATACATTTTAAAATTATGAAAGAGTTTGAACTTTTTTCTTAAAAGTATAACTTTGATTTGGTAATTTTGCTGTTGTTTCAATTTCTGAACTTAAGTTGAATATGGAGAGACTAGAATGACTATCTCATGTTGTTGATGTTTTATAATTTTAGATGGAAGTTCAACAACATGAAGCACTTTCTGAAAACAATGAGGCCAAACCGGATGAAGTTTCTTGTAAGAAAAGTAATACCGTGCAAATTTATAGACAAGATGTTGTGAAGAATAAAAGCAGTGGGTTAATTGGGATTGTGACGGAAGTTAATGGTGATTCAGATTCAGATTCGGATTCAGATAGCGGAGTCACTGACGACGAGGATGATAGTGAGGATGAGGATGGTGATGTTGAGGAGGGTGATGAAATTAATAATGGTTGCAGAAGTTCTGATAGGAATGACGGTTCTGTGCGTGGTAAAACTGCTGCGCTTCAGGCTAACGAGCTACGTGTACTCTGGAAGGATGAATCTGAGTCCACACAGAATTTCAGTGACGTAGAAGTTATTGATCGTGGATTTTTGCATGGTGATTTTGTAGCTGCTGCCTCTGATCCTACTGGGCAAGTGGGTGTTGTGGTTGATGTCAATATAACTGTGGATTTGTTGGCCCATGATGGATCCGTGGTAAAAGAGGTCTCATCAAAAGACTTGAAGCGTATTAGAGAATTCACTGTTGGTGATTATGTGGTGCTCGGGCCTTGGTTAGGAAGAATTGATGATGTTTTGGATAATGTGACTGTCTTATTTGATGATGGTTCAGTTTGTAAAGTCTCCAAAGCAGATCCAATGAATCTTAAACCGATTTCAAAGAATATTCTTGAAGATGGGCATTTCCCTTATTACCCGGGGCAACGTGTAAGGGCCAAGTCTTCATCAATCTTCAAGATGGCTAGATGGCTGTCTGGCTTGTGGAAAGCAAACAGGTTAGAAGGCACTGTCACCAATGTTACAGTTGGATCAGTGTTTGTTTATTGGATAGCATCTGCAGGTTACGGGCCATTTTCTTCTACTGCCCCAGCTGAGGAGCAGAGTCCCAAAAACTTAAAATTGTTGTCTTGTTTTGCTCATGCAAATTGGCAATTGGGTGACTGGTGTCTCTTACCCTCATCTGCGCTGTCATCCTCTGTTTCCGTAAACAAAAGCAAATCTAAATCGCAACATAGTGACTCTGTTAACATTGACTTAGATTCTAATCAAACAGAAAGTGGGTGTGATTCAGAAGAAGCTACAGTTGAGGAATCATATGGGAATGAGGATGCTATGGACCTTGACTCAGCAGGTGGTTTGATAGGGAGTGGTGGAGATGATAGAAATAATCCTTCACACGAATCTAGCTCATGCGGTAGTTCTATCTCAGTATCAAAGGACCCTGTCCATGAAGCTTGGCCTCTTCATCGCAAGAAAATAAGGAAAGTTGTCATCAGGAAAGATAAAAGAGCCCGGAAGAAAGAGGAAAGCTTCGAAAAAGCCCTTATGATTGCCAACACTAGGACAAGAGTTGATGTTTCTTGGCAGGATGGAACGATAGAGCGTGAACTAGATTCTACAAGTTTAATTCCTATTGATACTCCTGGTGATCATGAATTTGTTTCAGAACAATATGTTGTAGAGAAAACCTCTGATGTTGGTGAGGATAATTGTGAAACTAGCCGAGTTGGGGTTGTGAGAAGTCTTAATGCCAAGGAGCGGACAGCTTGTGTGAGGTGGATAAAACCAGCTGCCAAGGCAGACGATCCCCGGGAATTTGACAAAGAGGAAATTGTAAGTGTCTATGAGCTAGAGGGCCATCCAGATTATGATTACTGCTACGGGGATGTGGTTGTTAGACTATCACCTGTGTCTGTCGGTGTAGAAGCTTCTGTTGGAGAGTCAACTGAGAAATCAGAGCTGGAGAATGAGAAGAGTGGAATTATAAAGGTAGCGTCAACCCAGTCAACCCAAACAAGAACTTTGTCAGCCCAGTCAACCCAACCAAGAACTTTCTCAACCCAGTCAACCCAAACAAGAACTTTGTCTGGTGAAACTGATGTTGAGTTTTCAGACCTCTCCTGGGTTGGAAATATAACTGGCCTTAAGAGTGGTGATATTGAAGTTACTTGGGCTGATGGGATGATATCGACGGTATGCTCATTTCATATATTAACTTTCTCATTGTTATCTGTAATTTCTTCCCATTCTTTTGACAAAAGATAAATGCTGCATGTTTTACTAATATTCAGTTTTTTGCACATATTATTAATACAAGACTCCCAATCTGATTGCGTTGTTTCTGTCAGTGGAAATGTCAAGTTTTTAAAATTGATTTGATTAGAACATAATCAGGATGTTCAAATTGTCAGTGATTAAGATATTCTTCTATGTTGCAAGTACATTATGCATAATACTTGCAATCAGTGAAGGTATCTTTCAGTTTATGTGAAGAGTGATTCAGGAAAACCTTTGTAAAATGCTGGCAATTGGAATAGGATTTTGTGTTGGGATGCCTGTTAGGTCAGTAAAATCTGGTCCAGCTTTTAGAGTTCCAATCAATAATGATTAGATCTGAAAGTTGTCAAAACTTATTGCAGAAGTTTGAACTTGTATTACTCGGGAAAAGGAGGGCAAGATGAATCTGTGTACCTTAGTTTGTAGGTATTTAGCAACCTAAAGGTTAAGAGTGGTGGATGGGTTGAGTTAAGCCTAAACCCCGATTTCTAAGAGAATCTTTGATCCTTAAGGTAGAGTTATAGAGTATAAAATAAAAGTGGAGTATGAAAATATATAGTCAAGGAACACTTGTTGACTGTGCTATAATATAAACTCAAAGTGTAGTTCTATCATTGTTTGGTAGTCTTTTTTTTTTTTGAGTCGGTGATCTTTTTCTAAATGTTTTCTGGAAGGTTTTATATCATCTACATTGTAATTGGTATTTTGTGTTCATTTTAATATCTTTAGGCTTATATCATGTAATAGAAAAGCAGTGACTATTAGAAATAAACGAAGCATATTCTTTTTTCTACCAAAGTTACTAAAAATCCTTTGCTAGCATGTTGAACAGTCTTTTGGTGCTAAAATAGATGAATTCTGGTTTATGGTCTTTCTCAATCACAGCCTTAAATGAGATTTGATTTAGATTCATAATCAAAACTTTTTTTGTCTGCATAATCTAAGAGGCAATATTCAAGATTGAGGTTAGTATACCACATTTCCATTTTCACCGTCTATAATTTACGTTACTTCCAGGTTGGGCCTCAAGCAATTTATGTGGTTGGTAGAGATGATGATGATGAGTCAATTGCTGCAGGGAGCGATATAAGTGATGCTGCAAGTTGGGAAACCGTCAATGATGATGAAATGGAAGTCCTAGAGGATTCGAGAGAGGTTTGTTTCTTTTTCCAACTATAATGTGGTTATTAGTAAGTTTTGAACTTATTTTCTAAGAAGCCTACAGGAAAATCTACCACCTAGTACTGTTATCAGGAGTCCTATCAAAAAGTAGCATCTACCCACAAAATTTGACTTTTTACAGCTTGCTAGGGAAATGTAATATTCGATAAATAAATTGTGTTTTTTTCTCATTTTAGAAGGTCTCTGAATCAGTTTCTCCCTTCAATAAATGCATTTGTTTTATGGTAGACTTATCATGGGCCAACTAGAGATGTTAATAGTTATTATTAGTCTATAATTATGCAAGATTTCATGCAGGATGTTAATAAGGACAATTCAAGCGTCGCTTCTGAAGCAGAAGAGAATGGAGAGAGAGATTTGGGTAGGACTGCAGCACTTTCTGTCCCGCTGGCAGCAATTCGGTTCGTCACTAGACTTGCCTCTGGAATATTCTCCAGGGGACAAAGGAACTTTGATCCTGGTCACGTGCCGTCAAATGGTGAAATTGAATGTCTGTCACCAGTTAATGTTTTTGAGTCCAGCTCTCATAAATGTATTGCCATTGATGGTGGTGACAATTCAGGCAGCAAGAGTTTTAAAATCGAGGAGTCTGTTATTCCAGGAGGAGCTGAAAATGTGGAAGCATCTGAGACACTGTGCAGCTTGAAGAATGAAGATGCTCCTGCAAGTTGTGACAATGATGCTTGCAGTTTGAAACATTTTGACATGGTTACAGATCCGTTAGACCATTATTATATTGGCGCAAATGGACAGGTACTGCTGCTTCTGCCTTATTTCTAATCGTAAGAGAAGGAAGGAAATGAAATAATGAATAGGTAGTTGCATGTTTATTTTACGCCTCATCTTCCTTTGATGAATATTAACCAAGACACACCGATCCTTTTAGCTTAGTATTATTATTGACAAACGTTCCTTTTCGGTTAGTATTATTATTGTACGATAGGTTCTTATTTTTGAATATTGATCATCTTGGTGCATCAAATATGTGAGTATGCACACATACATTAAAAAATGCTTCTTTCTTTCTTTCTTTGTAATATAATTTCCTTTATTATATCATACCGAGGTAACTAAATGATTTTCACTTCACTTTCAGAGGAACAACCGAAAATGGTATAAGAAGGTGCAACAAGATTGGGGAATACTACAAAATAACCTTCCTGGTCAGTGAACTATGATGATAGATTTATTCATGCCATCTAAGTTTTGTATTGTGCTGCACTTATGCAGTTTATACACCCTTTTTAATAAATGTAAACAATTTGAACATTTTGACAGAGGAAATTTTTGTACGGGTTTATGAAGATAGAATGGATCTTTTGAGAGCAGTAATTGTAGGGCCATTCGGGACCCCTTACCAAGATGGGCTATTTTTCTTTGATTTTCACCTTCCGCCAGAGTATCCTGATGTTCCACCGGTAAGACATTATTTTAAAGCCCCTGCCATAAAAAGGAAGATGTTTAATTATTAAATGTAAAGAATATATTCCCTTGTATAAATTTTATCCGCCTGAATGTATCTCATGTATCTCATGTCTTTCTGTTTTTTTTTTGTATGGGCCTTGAATGATGCAGTCAGCATACTATCATTCAGGTGGTTGGCGGATTAACCCTAATTTGTACGAGGAGGGGAAGGTTTGTCTTAGCCTTCTCAATACATGGACAGGCAGAGGAAATGAAGTCTGGGATCCAAAATCTTCTAGCATCCTTCAAGTTCTAGTTTCACTACAAGGGCTAGTACTCAACTCGAAGCCTTACTTCAATGAAGCTGGATATGATAAGCAAACTGGAACAGCCGAAGGAGAGAAGAATTCATTGTCATACAATGAGAATACATTTTTACTGAACTGCAAGACCATGATGTATCTCATACGGAAGCCTCCCAAGGTGAGATTATGAATAATCTTTAGATGTTTTACTTGGTCCTATCCATTTGTTGAGATTTATGTTGCTTCTTTTAGTTGTGCAAAGTATATTTGACTGTTATCTGCGTGATGAATTCTGTAGGATTTCGAAGTACTTATTAAAGAACATTTTAAGAGGCGTGGTTATTACATCCTCAAAGCTTGTGATGCATACATGAAAGGTTACTTGATTGGTTCGTTGAATAGAGATGCGTCCGTGAGTAATAATAGCAGTCCGAATTCAACTTCGGTTGGTTTCAAGCTGATGTTAGCCAAGATAGTGCCAAAACTTTTCTTGGCACTTAGCGAAGTTGGGGCTGATTGCGAGGAATTTAAGCATTTGAAAGAGTTGTAACAAAGTAAATAATCAATTCCTTAAAATTTTTTTGCATCTTATGTGTTTTATTTCTGCTGTTAAAAACTTTTATTTTTCTTGTTTAAAAGACCGACCGATTCATTTGTGAGAGCTGGAAGGAATATAATTGATGGCAAAAGCACGAGAGAAGCAACCACTAACAGAGCAGGCTGGATATCCCTTTTGAGAATGTTCACCATTGTAGAAGGGAGGCAATGTTTGTTACTAACTTTTACGTTATGGATTTTATTTTATTGAATATTGGAAAGAGGGTGGTAAGGGTTGGATTTCGTTATGGTATGTAAAACCATTTGTTAGGTCTTGCACTGGTTTATTGACTTGTGTGAGGATTTGATGAATTGAATATAATTGAAGACTAGCCCATTTTGTTTTTCTTCCTTTTACTCTTTACTTGGCCACCATAATGGATTCTATGCTCACAAGTTTCATCTTGGCGTCTTCACTTTTTTTAAGCCTCTTCATGTTTTTACTTTTATTGTAAAGGTGAATAAGTGAGATTTCACCTCTTAAGGCTTTGATCCAAATTCTTTTTTTCCTTCTTCTAGTAGCCTAATGAATACCACCTCTTATACAATGGCGTGCATCTCTAAAATTCTAAAATACAATCGGGTGAATTTAGAGATGTATTTTCGAATGTATTAAATATTTTTTTTTGGTCAAATATCTTCTAAGTTACATTGCTTCTTTAGTAAGTCAAACATCCACCATATTTCTTAAGAAAATGCAAGGGTTTAGCCTCTTTTCAATAATTGAATGCAGAGAAAATGTAAACAAAAGATGAAATTTCTCTTTGTATAGAATTAATTAAAAACGATACCATAGAAATTGAGTGAATACAATACAAAATAACAAAGTATTGAACTAGTAAAAGGATAGAAGAGGATCAAATATAAAACTTAGTCATTACTCTCAGTGAGAGTACCAAAGGGAGAAAAGGAGTGAGAATATTTTTTTGTTAACTTCATTCTCTTAATTGCTAGATCAATTGATGACACATGTCTCTTTTATCTAACCATTTTAATGACTCACATTGATGACATGACTTTTCTTCACTTTGGATCATAACATTATCACCCTATTAAAAATCAACCTTGTCCTCAAGGTTGAAATCAGAACAATGCATATCAGTGATAAAAGCGTCCTTTTAAGTGACTTTCATGTCAAGTGAATTTTTCTAAAGAAAAGAAGAAGAAAAACCTCCTGAATCCCATTTAACAATTGTGACACTAAACAATATATAAAGAATTTGTGTAGTTGGCCCTGATTTAATCCAAACAATTATTGCCAATGTCAAATGTAGTGAGTCTTTGGTTGTCTATAACTTTGGGATAGAAATTGTGAAATATAATCATACATCTTGTATCTAATGTATATCTCCAATTACAAAAGCATTATCTCCAATTACAAAAGCATGTGTCTTTGTAATTCAGTCCATTGATAAGCATCTCATTCAAATTTTTAAAGAAAATAAGTGTAAAAGAAAAGACAACACGTGTTTCATGAATTTGAGCTAAACCATTAAGAACATTTCTATTGGCAGTCATGACACAAGGGTGATCCTTATCAATTAAATCATTAGTAGAAACAAACACTACCATGCATTCTGTATTAGAATCTTGGCAACTATTTTCTTTGAACTGTGCATTCTCAATTGTTTTCATTTTGTCTCCTTGTGTCACATTTATGATTTCTCTTGAAATGTTTGCTATAAGAGGTGAACCTTTTGCGAACGCATAGTCAAAATCGCTGGTTTTAAATCCGTCTCAACATGACATACTTTGAACAATTGTAAATTTCATTAAAGTACTTAACATAAGAAACTTCATCAAAAGCGGCATCAATACCACCATTTAAACCTCCTTTCATAAAAACCTCATTATATTCGTTAGCAGATTGATGAGGAATGAGTCGAGAATCTTGAAATCGTAAGCTTTTCAAGACTACATAAACAAAATAACCTTTGAGATAGCTAACATTCATATCATTCTTTAGCATTTGGTTAACAACTCTAATAGTTGGACTTAGTTGTTCAATTGTTAAGAGTGAAGTCAAACACGCAGTGTAACTTTGAATCAAAATTATAACCACAAAAGTCCATACAACCACCACAAATCTACCCAAGTTACTGACCAATTTATCTCTATGAGCATAAAATATAGTTGAGAAGGAAAACGATAAGCTCGTGCCAATTTGATAAGAAGGTGGTCCTTTGAAATCGTAGTTTATTCTATGTTCAAGAACCCAAACAACAAATTCAATGAATACAAATGAACAAGCTCTTTTTATCCAAAGTTTCCAGGTCAATGACTTGGATGAGGGTGGGGACTTAAGTGGTCTTGTATAAACTGAGCGTTGTCGCCAAGGTGGTGCAAGTGGCGACGATGAAATGGAGACCAAGTTACGTGGATCTGATAACATGATTGAAGGCAATGTACGCGCGACATAGGTTGTTGTCTTCTCTCTATAAGAATCGTGTCAGACAATGGAAGGAAGAAAACCTTTGACTATGGAAGCCGTAGAAAAACCAGAAATAAATGGTTCAATGAATCAATCACTACTCAAGTTAGAAGCATCAACAACTAACAAGATTTCACATAAAGCTTCTGAAAGAGTCATCTCAGCAGTCGTGTATGGTGTAGTCAAGACCTCAACATCGAGAAAATCAAAAGTATCGATCTCTTCTTGCGATTGGTCGGTCATTGTTGTAAGCATCATCGACAATTTATTCTTTGGAGATTGCAGAAATGAGTCCAAATCACCATTAGAAGGTGATCTCACTTGAAGTACAACCAATTTCTCCTCAACGCGGTCCAAATGCAAGATATCATTTGTGCATAACACCGTGTACGCAACATAACATACATCTTCCTCTTCCATGAATTTCTTCATTGTGGCGTTGAGTTTTTGAATGGCTGCCTCCAACCCATTCATACAAGTAGTATTTGCCACGGTAATGGATGAAAGCACCACTGTAAGGGTTTATCCCCTTTTCAATAATTGAATACAGAGAAAATGTAAACAAAAGATGAAGTTTCTCGTTGTATAGAATTCACTAAAAACAGTACCATAAAAATTGAGTGAATACAATGAAAAATAACAAAGTATTGAACTAGTAAAAGGATAGAAGAAGATCAAGTATAAAACTTAATCATTACTCTCATTGAGAGTACCAAAGGGGAAAAAGGAGTGACTTCATCAATTTTGTTCCATGCCATTTCTTTCCAATCAATGCTCTATTTTATAGAAGGGTTGAGATAATATTTCTTGTTAACTTCATTCCCTTAATTGCTAGATCAATTGACACATGTCTCTTTTATCTAACCATTTTAATGACTCACTTTAACATGACTTTTATTCACTTTGGATCATAAAAGAAAATAGTTTGGAGATGTATCTATGAAGTAGGTGTTCGGAGATACATCTTCAAATTCTTGCCCGTGTGTTTCTTTTGTAGAAACAGTGTAACTGAATTGAAGTTTTTTCAATCCAACATAATTTTAATTCGATTAACATTGCCATTATTTGTTTCAAAGATTAACAAAAACAAATATCATAGAACCGAGTAATGTGTTAATTAATCAGAAAGAATATCATAGTACAAAAATTATTCTCCAAGTCAATATAAAACTATTCAAAATACAATCAAATGCATATAATCTATTGAGTACGCCTAATCCTAACACCCAAGTTCCTCCTTTGTCTATGATAACCCAAGATATTCTGTGCCTTGGTAAGAATGGAACGTGTTAGGGCAACCGCTTCATCTCCACATCTTTCAAACAACCCTGACTCAATGTCCTCTCCTGCCATTCGTGTAATATTCTGACAAATCAGCAACACATCAATGGCATAATCATCCATGACCTGCTCATTCTCTAGGATCTCCTAATGAGCAGGCCTAGGTGGATACCCAGGAGTGTCTGGTGCCATGTAAGAGTGTGAAACATTATATAACCAAGTCATGTAACCCTCTACATAAGATCACTGTTCTGTAACTTCCTGACTTCGATACTCCTCTGGTACCAGACAACTCCTAAATCTGCCAGAATATCATCTAGCTGTCTACAAATAATACTGATAGGAGTAGCCTGGAGGGAGATCTAAGAATGATCTACACATACCCAAATTTCCGCATGCACTACTATGGAAGATAACTGCACATGATATTAGTCCCATATACTAGTCATATGGAGTACAATGTAATATGGTCGAATGTAATAATGTCCATGTAAGTAGTGTATGGCAATCATACAACGTCATCATGTTGAGTCCGATCAATATACACATGGAACGATACCAAAACATTATTCTCTTTGCGCAGGAGGTACATGCAAGTACATGGGTAATCTTCAGTAAACAATGGGTCTCACCCAAACCCGTGAATGCAATGATAGTGGATAAAGATTCATCCTTGAAAACGAATAAGAAAAAAGTATTAGTAAAAAAGATGTTTTTAACTTAATATTGGGATTTGGGAATTACCGTAAGCATGGTGCATGAGCTTGTCATTTCCTTTGTCGTCCAATGAGAACCTTCACCCATCTTGGAGTATAGGTACACTAAGCATACAACCCTCCAGTTTCACTCGTGAATGGCCTCAAAGTCGATGAAATACTTGAGATAAGCCACATCCACATAGGTTTCACTTTTATCCACAAACATGGACGTGCCAACCAAGAATAGTAATAAACACCTCAGTGCACACTCCCTGTGGTAACCAACCCAAAGTTCATCGAAGTCTGGGTCTTCGACTATCTCTAAGTTGTCGTTATATACCTTGGCCAACCAAGAAAACTTGACATGTGCACCCCTGGTCTTGTTACATTACTCCATGGCTTCCTCAGTGTCAGCTCTCAAATAAACCACCATCATCTCCACTGCCTCAATCCTGGTGATCTTAGAATGATCAAGCAACCTTCCTCTGATGGGAATGTGTAGAAGGAAAGCGACATCATCTAATATAATAGTCATCTCGCCAATGGGGAGGTGTAAATATGCTGTTTCTCTATGCCATCAAAAATCAATTACAACCTACATGTTATGTCTGATGATGTTGTACCTGGAAGCACAAAGACCTGCAAGATCGGAGACCAAAGTGCACTTTAGAACCACTCATCCTGAGACTGATAAAGACAATGAGTATTCCTGGTATGGTTCACAGATTTCAGACACCCACGTTCACGTTAAAAAGAAAATATAACAATCTCATCCGAATTGAATTTGGTTAAAATATAAAAAATATAACCGTTAAAAAATATACCTCTCCGTCCCTGATATGCAGAGCCACATGATCTCTAAAGTATATCAATAATGAAGTGTGCGTGGGCCCTCTTAGAAAAGGGTCTGCAAATGGGGCCTCCTAAACAACTAGGACCTGTTGTGCAGTTGGGGCATCCTCCTAATGGTGTGCACGACTCTGGGATTTCGACCCCTATGATAGTCAGCTCCTAGAGGTTGAGGCTTTCCTATCGTGAGGGATAGAGACGAGTCTAGTATGCTAATGCTGACGAGCCCTCTCGCGGCGAGCATACACGGTTAGGGTGGGGCGACTGAGTCTCATCATTTTGTTGTTTTCATCCATTATCCTTGAAAAAATACAAGAAAAGAGATTAATGCATAAGGAAGGAAAGAGTTCGGAGATATATCTCCAAACACCAGAAATAACACACTTCGGAGATAAATCTCTGAAAAAGCTCCATCTTGCATTTCTATAGCAGAAACATTTCTGCCATTTTCCTAACCATCCAAAAGTCATCCAAATCACCCAAATCATAGAAACATATCATACACATTATATATTTTCAAATGTTAATGCTATCTAATGCATCAAAACTAACCAATTTAATCTAATATATTAATCAAAACTCAAAATAATATAAATGAGAAACTTACTCAAAAATGTGTTGATGAGGGTGTAAAGTGTTGAATGCAGTAGTTAGAGGGAGTTGAGAATGACAAGATACAAGCAAATGACTGATGTTGCTTCAAAACTTGGGATTGAGTGTGAACTGAAAATGGATAGAGGGGGGGGGGGGGGGGGGGGGGGAGAGAGAGAAAGTTTGTTTTCTAAAAAATAAAGAAGGAGAAGAGGGAGAGTCTGGTGCGAGCTTTAAATACGTTCACCTAGTTTAGAGATGCATTTCTGAAATATTCGTTTGAATTAAAAAAAGGTTAATTTAGAGATGTATATGCAAACACACCATAAAACCCCTTTGCAGATGCATCTCTGCATTAACCTTTAGGTAAAGTGAAGAATTGGTGCGTCTGGAGACATATCTCCGAAAACAGGGGATATTTTAAAATTTTCGCGCAAGATATGGAAGAAGGTATTAAGGTGCAATGAAAAATTGCATTAATGGATGTTGCTCGAGTCGAATCCGAGCCCTACGATCCAATGTTGATCCAAATTCTTATACTGGCAAAGTTGACATATTAATTTTAATGTGTTTCTTATAAGTTAGTTTCTATGTCTCACAATGAGTTTCGTTCACAATGAGTGTTTCAGTGACCATTTGAAAAATAAATATGTTTCAAAACAGTTTCGTTCACGATGAGTGTTTCATTGACCCCATTTGAAAAATAAATATGTTTCAAAATAAATGTCTCATTCGAATTATATCATCTAATTAATACTCATTGCTTCAATCCCAATTCAAAATTACACTTCACACTTATGAGTGATAATCAACCAATACTACTTCTTCGATTTTTTTATTATAAGTCGCTTTATGAAAAAGTTTTTGTTAAATGCCATTTTATAATTTTAATAAATTATTAATTCTATTTTCTTTATTATACTCTTAAATATTTTTAGGATTATGTTAACGAGTGTTCCAGGGACACTCTTTAAGGATTTCAAATAAACAAGTTATTTTTTATAAGAAAAATCATCTATTTCAATTTTCGATATATTGAATACACATATTCCCAATTTTAAAAAAAAAAAATCCTTAAAGAGTGTTCATGAGACACTCGTTAGCATTTCCTATAATTTTACTATTCTTATTTTTAAATTTTTAAATTTGTGTTTTCTATATAACTATTGAAGAATAATTTTATAAAATCCTTTATAATTTATATTTTCTACAATAATGATTATTTTTAAAAATAATTTATAATAAAAAATAGAAGTAGTAATTGATAAGAATCAACTATCTACCTAAGTATGGAAGATTCTAATGAACTTTCTAATATACCCTTTCTAACAAAAATTAACTGCACTACATTATGTCTATTATTGTAATTGACTAAATCAAATAAAATTGACCAATCAAACTTTGTCTCTAAGATAGTTGACGGAACTCTTCTTCAATCAATTCAATTCATTCCTTTCAATAATGAAGCTTGATTTAACGTAATAGTTTTATAAGTTTCTAGTTTATGATTCTTTTAGTTTATGGTTTTCTGTTTGCAGCCTAATCTACATATTTATTTTTGTTCGCAAAAATAATCTGATACATTGTTAACACATGTTCTTTCCTTTTTTTTGATATTTCGATTTTAAATTTTTGTTCATGATTTTATTCTTATGTTTCTTCAGTGTTTGTAACTCTATTTTATTTTTTCATGTCTATAGTTTCTTCAAAATCAACATTACTTAACCATAAATACGTTCATTTTGTTTCTTTTAGACTTCATACATTTGAAAAAGTAGTTGTCACTTGCATTTTGAAATTTTGTTTTATTACAACATATATCTATTCAATTTGATTTTAATATTTTAACTCATAACTGGTTTTAGTTTATATTTTTGAAGCTATGTTACTTCAATAATGTTTGTTGTTGGTGTTATGATATTATTACAAAGAAGACAAAAAATCATGTCTGATTCTTCTGATAAAGTGTATTCTTTTCACTAACTCATACTATTATGTTTTTTTAGAGTTAAATATATAATACTATTGTAATATAGATGAATTTTGATTTATCTC